ACACTCCAGCCAGACATAGCACCAAAGCGCTAAAAGGTAGCGGCCCATACTAGGCAAGCACCCCGCATACAAGGCACCAGGTGGCAGGAATGCATACGATGGAGTGGTACTAGAGATGCCCTATATGCAGAAACTCCTATAGGATAGGAAAAGATTCATAGGCTGGTAAAGTAAAAAGACTGCACAAAACTGGCTAGGAGGGTTTAATATCACTCGAACACAAGCAAAGCACAGGCAGCCATGGTTGCAGGAGGTGTAGCCATCAGTATCCTAGAGAACCCATTGGAGGACAACTCCAGGAAAAAACCCCCATAAAATTCAGTAATAATGTGAAGTGCAAAATTACCCCAATGTCTATTTCTTGTTTTAAACATTTTATTTGGGAAAAAACACAACACAATTGCTCTGGTTTATGGGGCCTATAGCAGGAAATTGGTGTCCTTTGAACCACACTCTGGTAGGATTGCAGTACATGTTTCGAGTTTCCAGAAGCAAACACTCACCTTCCTCAATCTACAAAATGCCCTGTTTAGAGCTTCCACTTACCTGCTGGTAGCTGATCTGTAATCTTCAATGCAAAGTAGATTTTTGCAGAGCACAATAAGAACTAGGCAGACATAATAATTGTACATATTTTTGCAAAAAAAAAAAAAAAAAAAAAAAATTGCATTTATTATTTTTTTTACTTGGAGCCTGTAAAGCATTGCACCCATGATCAGCAGATCGTGGGTGCCATGCAGAACTCATGCAGACTGTCAGTGTAATCAGTCTGCTTGTACCTCGTATGGGCAAGCAGATACACACTGACAGGAAAGGACAATGAAATAGGAGCGCTTAACAGCACCATGGTAATTCATTGAAAACTACAAGCAGACAGCCGCAAGGCTTGTCGGCACTTGTTTCCCATTCACATAACTCTGTGAATGAATGACGCAGCTGGGTGGGCGAAGCCACATTTAAAAAAAAAAAAAAAAAAGTGTCAGCTAATGAGAGGAGAAGATTGTCAGAGGCAGCGGAGCGGGAAGGGGCTGCAGTAGTAGGGACAGGTTACATGTTCCACTCTAAAAACAGTGGAAAGGTGAACTTATCCCCTTCTCTAAAGCTAAATACTAGAACTGGGGTTCTGCCCATCCCTACTACCATGACTTACATTTTATGTGGTTCCAATGTCTTAAATGCATAGCCACTCAATGGAGGATTACCAGGCTCGGTCATAAAAGGTTGCAGTTGAAATTTTTACACATAAATTTAGACAACAGACAACCTACCACCTGGAGTGTGGGAGGAAACGAGGAATTCCAGGCAAGCAGAGGGAGAATATGCAAACTCCATACAGACAGGGGGAGATTTACTAGAACTGGAGAGTGCAAAATCTGGTGCAGCTCCGCTTAGAAATCAATCAGCTTCCAGGTTTTATTGTGAAAGCTTAATTAACCACGTCCCATCCAGCCCCATATATAAACGGCCGGACGGGAGCAGTGCAGGGGCAGTTGGCCTTTATAAATGGCCTCCCTGCTTGTGTGTGCTCATTGGGAGCGCACAGCACCTCGATCTGGTGCTCGCTGTGTCCTCCGGATGCAGTGGAACACCGATCGTTGTACGGGACCTCTATGTGAGGTCCTGATCATGTGATCACTGATTGGCCAATCAGTGATCACATGAAGAGTCATAAGCAAGATGTCACTTCTGACATCATTGCTTACTACGTGTGAAATCTGTGAATGATAGGTTCGGCAGAAATTAATGCAATCCGTATGACCTATCTCCCAAAACTACTTTACCTATTTCGTGTCTTGCCAGTTCCAGTACCTTTGCATATATTGCGTATCCATCAGCGAAAACTTCTGTCCTTTATCTGGAGCTCCTCTCGACCCAGAATTAGCAAACATATCTTATTCGCGCGACGGAGTGCGGGGCGGGTTATCGGTTCCGAATCTCCAGTCTTATTATTTGGCGGCTAACATTGCCCCCTTGGCTCATGTTCATGCATCTCATCATTTCCCTCTGTGGGCTGTTGTAGATATGATGGACTCTCACCCAATAGCGCTCTCCTCCTTGCCATGGCGTCCTCCTTCTCAACGTCCATCTACCCTTAGTCCAACGCTGACGTTATCGCTACGTCTTTGGGATTCTATCAAATACTCTGCTGGCCTTATCTCTCCTCACCTGCCGCTGTTATGTCTATTACATAACCCATTATTCCCTCCGGGTAGGGATAATCCTAGACAGTTTGCATGGTGGCAGGCGCATGGTTTTTATGATGTTCACTCACTTCTATCTCCCACTAGAATAATTACCTTTGACGCTCTGCGCTCTTCTTATAATATCCCCCTTCGAGAACATTTTGGTTATCTTCAACTTCATCACTTCCTAAAAACACTGATACGTACGCATTCGGGACCTTATCGTCTGTCCCCCTTTGAAACCAGTGCAGACATAGACCTCATGCCCCGGGTTTGATCTCTTTGATTTATTCTTCCATTATATCTTATAGAACCCCTCCGGTTCGTTCTTATCATCAGCGTTGGCAGTCTGAATTAGGGGGGACCCTGGATCAACAGGACTAGCAGAACATGACCCAAGCAATCTCTAAATGTTCTAGGAATGTTATTATCCTTGAGAATGCCTACAAAATTCTATACCGATGGTATTATACGCCTGCCCGCCTAGCTAGTTTTTTATCCCTACATATTCCCCAGTCTGTTTTCGGGGTTGCCAACAATTGGGCACCATGGCCCACATATGGTGGACTTGCCCTAAAGTAAGTAGATTATGGATTAGGGTGTACGCCCTTCTCCGCACTATCCTTCACACAGACATTAAGCGTAATCCGTATGAAGCGCTTCTATTTAAACCATTGGAGGGTCTTCTCCGTTCTGAACGGCAGCTGGCATCACACTTATTTATGGCAACTAAATTGACAATTGCAAGGGCTTGGAAGACTCCTGTCCTTAGTTTTGAGGCTGTCAAAAACCGGATGAATTTCATCATGGTTAATGAAAAATTGACGGCCATATTGTTAGATACCCATACAAAATTTTTGCAGATATGGCGCCCCTGGTTGGATGTAGCTCAACCCTCGAGATTCGACCAATCCCTCCTGTCGATATGAGGTTGGATTTTGCCGTGATCCCCTTGGAGCCCCAACTTCCCCCCCTTTTCCTTTTTTTTTTTTTTGTTGTCGTTGTTGTTTGTGATGTCCGTGTCTCTCTACTGTATGTCTTTTCCTTTCCTGCTGTTCAATTTGTCCTTAAATATATTTCACGGATTGTGCTTGTTGTTTTCTGCGCTACATCCGCAATACACTCTCTAGGTTATGTAGCATGTACAATTTTTTGGAGAGGCCTCTTCTTGGGCCTCTCCTGTTTTCTATAATGTTGATGTAGCTAAAAACTCTCTCTGGAGTTTACATTATCATTGACCCACAAAGGTTTGTTAATCATTCCCTTATAACCCCTTCCTCCACCTATTCCTACAAGGCTTCTATGTAAACTCTTCAGCTTATGCCTTTATTGATGCATGTCTTGAACAAGTTCCTCGTCATTTATTATGATCCATAATTGTTGGTCCTTGAATTTATGCTCCGAATGTCTGTTTATTTTTTGCTTACTATTCAATAAAGCTCTTTGTAAAAGAAATCTGTGAATGATCACAGAAGTCACATGGTACAAGGCTATTCACAACAGCCTTGTACCATGTGACAAGCTGTGACCAATCACAGCTCACACAGTATAGCTCAATGGCTCCAAGAATACAGCCAGAGAGAAGAACTGATTGTTTTTACACCCATAAAGGCTGTAAAAGCAAAACTGTAAAAAAAAAAAAAAAAAAATTCTTCATCACCCCCCACAAGTAGTACAATGTCACTATGGTGACACTGTACTGTTAGGATGACAGTATGTAAAAAAAAAAAACCCACATAAAAAAAAATAAAAATGTAATTGAAAAATAAATTTTTGGTTATAAACGAATTTGGGTTATTTTTTTTTACTAAAAAGATAACTGAATACATTTTGGCCAAGATTTATGAAAAAAAGATTTGCAAAATTTTATTAAAAAAACTATTTTTCAAAAATTTGGACTTTCATTTATATAGCAAAAAAAAAAAAAAAAAATCCCAGTGGTGAATAAATACCACCAAAATAAAGTTTTATCTGTCTCAAAAAATGCTAAAAAATTCATATGGGTACAGTGTTGCATGACTGCACAATTGTCAAAGTGTGATAGCGCTGAAAGCTGAAAATTGGCCTGGACAGGAAGGGGGTAAAAGTGTCCGGACTTGAAGTGGTTAAATAGACTGAAGTTAGAAGCCGATTGGCTACCATGGACAGCTGCACTTCTGAGTGCTCCAGTTTTAGTCCTGACTGAGAATCAAACCAAAGACCGCAGTATTGCAAGGATTAAGTGGTAACCACTAAGCCACCGTGTTGCCCCTGAAGTTCTCCTTTAATATGCCATGTATATAGAAAGGGGGGGGGGGGGGGGGGGGGGGAAGGAAAAAAAAAAAAAAAAAAAAAAAAAAAAAAAAAGAATACACACAGACTCAGGACACATGAAATAATCTCCTATCCAGACTCAGGTTGTTTTTAAATGTTTCCAGTTTAATGTTACAAATGATAGCTGTTCTCTGTGGGAGGTAAAGGGAAACTGAATACACAAATACATGAAGACATACAAACAGCTGCATGTGACAAGCACACAGGGCAGAAATATCACAGCAAACACACTTTGGAATGGGCGGAAGTCACACAACCCTGGTGCAAAGTCTATGGGATAAGAACTCCTGATATGCTATGGAATGAAGCGGTTACATCAACAGACTTCTCTTTAATCTCAGAAATCGGAGATCATAGTATGGTCATGTAGAACAACAACAACAGATACATGTTTCAGTCCTTCAGACATGAACCAGTGATGAACAGCAACTCCAGCAGACCTCCTTTGTACCTGTTCAGCTGTCCCAGAATTTTGTGCTGGTGACTCGGTAACTGAGAAATGGCTCAAGGTAATGTTGAGGGACGTTCCTCATTGTGGAGATTGTCCTTAAAACCCCACACCTCTATCACTGCCACCTGGAAGGTTTCGGAGCACAGAGGCTGGTTGTTGAAAGTGTTGCAATGGCTGGTTCTTCCATAATTCAGATCAGAGTCCAAATATAAAGCTTGTCCATCTCCGCCACCTAGTGGATGGAAAAATTCAGGCACGACCCATCAGTTAATAGGACAGAATAATAAACGGGAAGCAATGCAGCAGACCTAAAAAGGTTTCATTTGACAGCATAAAAAGATGAAATGTTTTCCAAGAGAAGAAAAAAAAAAAACAAAAAACAAAAAAAAACCACGAAATGATTTGCAGGTGTGAAAGCGATGACATGTTTCGTGTTGAAAGGGGAGGTGTATAACATTCTTTTGCTTCCGCTGTGTGATGAGACACCTAACTTTCATCATTCACTGTGTGCACTACTAGCGATGGGGGTATTGGTATTGGTTCCTGGTTTTTTTTATACCAGGTGTGATCACTTTTTCACTTGAGATCCCAGAGAGGATCAATCCACTGATTTATTGGCACGTATATACATTTTATGTCACTTTTATATTGAGATCCCAGAGAGGATCAATCCACTGATTTATTGGCACGTATAGATATTTTGTGTCACTTTATACTGAGATCCAGAGAGGATCAACCCACTGATTTATATATATATATATATATAATATATATCTCATCACTTTGTTTTTGCCATATTGTATTATTTTATTATTAGGGTGGCACTGCATCATTTTGGTTTCGTTAGTTTTTATTTCCACTGCTAGATACAGAGTCATGTCAGAGCTTACAGAGCTATAACGAGGGCAAATTGTTGGTGCTGCTTAGCTTGTGCCTCTGACTAAATGTATTTGCAGTGTTGTGAGGTACAGTATCAAAAAGGTTATGACGGCATATAACAGTTTCTGGGAAAACATCGTCTCTGATGAGTATAAGTGCTGGCGACTTTGGTCGACTGACTGAAAGACAAAAAGGACATTGCGCAGGATTGTGACCTGGAATAAGAAAACAACTGCTGCAAAAGTGACTGCAGAGCTCAATCTCAGTCTCAGCTAAGCAGGACCAACAATTTGCCCTCTTTCAAGCTCCATAAGCTCTGACATGACTCCGTATTACTCGCAGCGCACACAGTGAGTGACAAAAGCGAGGCTTCCCACCTTTTAGCTAGGTGTCTCATCACACAGCGGAAGCAAAAGAATGTTACATCACTTCTGTTTTCAAACGCAAACCATGCCACCACTTTCACACCTGCAAATCACAAATGTCTTTTTTTTTTTGTCTAACCCCTGTACATTACTGACCTTCTGAAAAGGCTGCTTTTCTGGTTAATATACAGACATACCGGCTTCAGTACAGTCTAAAGGTCAAGCAGGTGGATCAAGTCAGAAATTTTACCTACACAAGCACTAAAGCTGCAAAATACTTACCTCTGATCCGTGGTCCACGAGGCCCCTAACTAGTGCTAAAAATCTTCATCAGCTTATTTCTGGTGCCAGGTCTTTGGCCAACTTGACTGGCCGGCGCAGTATGATGCAACTCCTACGCACATGAAGGAGTCCTTCACCAAGCTGAGATTGTACCCTTCTCTGCGAAAGTAGTCTATTTTCCCCATTAGTTCAAACTTTACATTATTAGTGAGAATGTACAGAAACAAAAAAGATCAGCATGACAGCCAGACAAATTTTGCAGATTAGAAGTCAGCAATGGTGGCCTCCTTGTTTGTCCCAGGAAAGGTTTCTGTTAACCCTTTGAGGACCGTAAGGTTTTGGAACGGCAAAAGAATCAATTTTTTTTTTTTTAAAGTTCGTACACTTCAGTTGTTGTAACTAAGCCATTTCATGAAATAATTGGCAAAAAGCTAGATCCATTTGTTGTTTGTTGATAAGAACTAATATTTTGACTCAAAAAAAAAAAAAAAAAAAAAAAAAAAAAAAAAGTTTTAAGTTCTTAAATCAGATGATACACGCAATTACAAACATGGGACAAATACGTCCCTTGGTCCTCAAAGGGTTAACTGGACAGCAACAAAAAGTACTTAAAAGCAACTCTGTTAATAAAAATACGTAAAATAAAGTAATTCCCACAACGACAGTCAACTTTTCTTCTGAGCTGTCGGCACAACTGATCACTGCTGTGTTAAAGAGGAACCACCACCCACAGAACACAGTGCAGACACAGGAGTCAGCAGGTTGAGCCACAGCATACAGCAGTGGGACTAGGAATCCCACACTCCTTAATGTCAGATTTTGAAGATTCTTCGGGTATTGGTTCCTTTCTATTACAGCAGAGATTGGCTGCACAAGGCAAGCATGAACTTGCTTGCAGAGAGGACCTTATTTTACATATCGAAATTACAAACAGAGCTACTTTAAAAAAAAAAAAAAAAAAAAAAAAAAAAAAAGGAGTTCCACATTTCTATAGAACCAATAGTTACTATGCGCCACATTATACTGCAGGCCAACTTAGAACCTGTAATAATGGACTTTTTGTCAACATCAGACAAATTTTGCATTTCCATAGAAGTCTACAAGAAGGCAAAACCCACTTGAAACTTTTTTGGAATGAGGATATGTATGACCAATGTTGATCTCTCATCAGACAGGTCTACGTTTTTTAATTGTGTCCTAGGCTGTAACAATTATTTACATTCTTTGTCTAAATGATGGACATCGTTTCCATGCATTTGTCTGTTACGTTTGGATTCATAATAAAATTTTAATGCGAAAAAAAAAGAAAAAAAAAAAGAAAAAAAAGACACTTGAACCAGTTCAGAAGGCGGTCAACTGCAGGTCATATGCACCTGTCAAGGAATTTTGAATGAGCCCAGGAATGTCTCAAATGGATGTCGATATCATTGACAAGACCAAAACTCATTGGCATAGGCACTCAGAGTAATAGAGGTACTAGATGTCTGAACATTTTAGTTGTAACAGGAGGATCTCTTGACCCGTTCCTTATGGAGGAAGACATCGCTGGCCTCCTGGATATGCTAGTTGCATGACTGTTATGTTGATTACTGGCTTTAACAATGTCAGAGTAAAGTCAGATCCCCATGCTTGTTTCAAGTCCAATTTAAAATTAAAGTGATTCTAAAGGTTATAATTAAACAAAAAACAACAAACGTTATACCTACCTGCTCTATGCAATGGTTTTGCACAGAGCATACTTGACTCTTCTTTTTGGGTTCCACGCTGGCAGTCCTGGCTCCTCACGGCAGCCAAGTGCCCAAAATAGCAAGCACTCAAATACACTTGCTCCTGAGCCATGACACACACACACACAAAGCTTGGCCCCCACCCTCCCCTTTCTCTCTCCTCTTTGGCTATGATCGACAGCCAATGGCTCCAGCTGCTGTGTGAGCCAATGAGGAGAGAGAGAGAGCCCAAAAAGTTGCTGCTCTCATGCTGGATTGAGATTGGTCTCAAGTATGTATAAGGGGGGTGCTGTGGAAGGGGGGGGAAAATGGGGGAGCTGCACCCGGAAGGTGTTTTACCTTTATGCATGCAATGCAAAAGTAACTTGTCATTTTTAGAAGGACAGGTCAGTTAACCTACAGATTTCTCCCTGTACGGATGTCCTATAAGAGCCTGTGCAGTTTTTAGTTATGAATGGCAGTAACCAAAAACAGGAGATCAATAATAAAATCGGGTTTCATTATTTAAAAACTTCCAAGTTACCTTTCTGATGAACCACCGTAACAGTTAATTTCCTTTTTTGTATAGTGTTAGAATTGGGCTTACACTTTTGGCTTCTACAGAAACAAACAATTCGTACTTTAAATTGTATTATAAACATGCATTGGAAATAGCTTTGCACTGGAACACATTGGGGGAGATTTACTAAAACTGGTGCGCTCAAAATCTGGTGCAGCTGTACATAGTAACCAATCAGTTTCTAACTTCAGCTTGTTCAATTAAGCTTTGATTAAAAAAAAAAAAAAAAAAAAAAAACAAACAAACACAAAACCTGGAAACTGTCTGGTTTCTATGCAGAGCTGCACCAGATTTTGCACTCTTTAGTTTTAGCAAACCAACCCCGGTAAGATCTGATGGCTACAAGAACTCGTTGACCACATGTTTTAACACAGCAGATTAATAAAAAATCTCTGGGGAGGTGGGAATTTTTCATGTTGAGATTATAGCTGACCCATCAGTTACTTTACAAGCCCACGTGAATATATTGTGGTCATGTCATAATATAATTTTAAATAAATTTACTTTTTAGCATTAAAAAGCCAGCCATCACGGAGTTCAGTCAAAAAGTTTTGCCTAGACAGTCTATAAAAAGGTCTGCCGGAAAAGCATCAAAAAGGAGGATTAACAAATCTGCTAGATGTAAGAGATGGGACTTACAAAATCTCCTGTCCCCCCAGTGATAACTCATTAAGACCAGACCTTTTAATTTCATGGCAACCCACAACAGAAGCAGCAGCATGGCAGATCTGTGTAACACAATGTGTATAAAGAGCCAAAAACATAAGGACTGCTGCACAAATCCTGCCCCACTTTTCCACCTCTTCCAATTAGAGAACGCTATGCATTAATTTGAGAATTCAAAGATTCCCTGAATGCCACCCATGCAGAGCGGCCAACCATCCAGTATTGACAATGTATCAGGCTGACCACTCAGCATGGGATCCAGAAGCAAGTAGAGATCACTGGAGTATCAATGTATCTACTTCAGTTATTTCCAGCTTCCAGGGGGATCAGCCAGGTATGGTATATGCATAGTATGCCATACCTGGAATTCTTAGAAAAAAAAAAAAATGGCAAAAAGGCTTTTTTGCAGGAGACACATACCATGTCTGCAATTACAGCTTCTTATCTGCTTGCTAGCAAAATGTATGTTTATTGTGTAAAGTTTCAGCATGGATGTCAGTATGGATGAAATCCTGTGCACATGCACAGGAGTTATGTCGATTTGGGCTGGCCTAACAAGATGGCCGATAACCTAAATGCCTAGTCTTGTGAATTTGGTGTCAATTGGCTACTTTGCATAATTACCAGCCTTTGGCTAAGCATTAGAATGATCCAAATGCACATTAAATAGTAGTAGATGGGTAACTTACCCTGAGCCACCCTTTAATATACAAGAGGCAGGGAAGGAGATAGATATCATATACAGCAAAATGGTCTAATTTAAAGCAATAACATAGGCCAGTATAAAAGGTTCTGTTCCATCTACTCACCTATGATAATGCATTCTGTGCTCCCAGCCATGAACATGGAGGCTGTTTTAGATGGAAGGTTGAAGTGGCGAGTGGCCAGGAATGGAGACAAGCGATCAGAAGGGTCTGTGCCATCAGCAGTGTCTTGGGAAGAGTTTGATTCTTTGTCAGCTGATGCACTTACTCTGCCGAGCTCAGGGTGTTTTATGATCACCCACTCGTAGCGCTCCACCTCTGGCTGTAGCTAAACAAACAGAATCGGTTAGGACACTGAAAAAAAAAAAAAAAAAATACTAGGCAGGCCTTCCATGTACACAATGCCACACCGTCCAGTACTGAAATATACAGCTGTGCCCCCTGAGAAGTCAGAACATGCAGATTCAATGCAAATGAGGCTCTTATTCTAGTTTTTGCTTCCATCCACTTAATCATCTTCAACGCCGAAAGAGGTTTTGTTTCTTACCTATACACGTGAATGTGTTCATCTTCAAACAAACCTGTGGAGTTGCTCATGCAACATTAAAGTGGTCTTGTTGCTTTTCCCTGCATGAACGCAGTACAAATTTACTTCAAGAACTAGCATGTAAAGGCTTTTGTGATTTCCTTCCAACCTCTGTTTGTAAAGCGATTTGGAAGGATCTGGAATGCAGTGTTCGAATTATGAAATTAATCTTACAATGCTGTGTACACCTTTACTGGAATCCATGCATTTGCTTTATTTGTGTAAATGGGACGTGTCATATTCAGCTACATAGAACACTTTCCCCCGCCTGCCAGGCTTACAAGTCAGTGTAAAAGCAAACAAAACATCCTAAAGAAAGTCAAAAAGTAACACAGAAGGAAGATTGCTTTCTCCCAAAACATGATGCATCTGGCCTACTTGCCGCCATTTCCAACTTCCTGCCAAAAAACTGTTTGCCCGACTTTGACCACAGTGCTATTTGGGTAAGCCAAGTCACTTTAAATACAGGCTGGTAGGTTAATGTAAAATGATGTAAAATATACAATATGTAAAGTGCTGCCTAAAATTGTTGGCGCTATTAAAAACACAAAAACAAAAAAACTCCAGTACAACCAACACCAAAACACCCACAACAATAAAACTTGACTAGAAAACTTGTTCCAATTGAATTATTTAAAAGATAAGTACAGCCAAAGCTCTTTTGGCTGCACTTCTGTGGATCACAGGAGTGCAGTTTGTTTTGCACTCCTGTGAGCCATTTTTCAGCCGACAGTGGGCTGATATCACTCAGTCGGTCCAGGCTGGGGAAAGATCCTGACTTTAAAAGTTGGGACTCACCCCAAAGTCTGGAGGGGCACCTAGCCACTGAGAGCCTGAGCCAGCTGCATGACAGTCCCGTTCTCTGCTCAAAGCGACTGTGATCGCCGAGTTGTCACCCTTAGATCCGACGGGTGACAGATGCAACAATCGGACCAATGCTGCATCCACCTAGGCAAGTATGATTTGGGGGAAAAAAAAAAAAAAAAAAAAAAACAAAAAAAAAAAAACACAGACCTCTACTTCTCTTTTAAAGCAATGATACCTTTGCATCAATAGCCAGGCAACTAGCATTTCAAAAAGGAGAATTTAGTAATGGCACCTGATCAGTGAAGGCTTGCCTACATTTTTTTTTTTATACAAGCAGATTTTGTTTGCATTTTAAAAGCTATAAACACCTTGAAGCTATAAAACACTTTGTTTCCTTGCCTTTCCTTTCGATATGAATACATGTGTAGGAGGACAACCAGATTTGTTCATCACATAGGCAGGTTCTGCTTCCTGCAATGACTATGCTTAACTGCTCATTTCTCTTTGTACAAAATCAAGGGTGGCCACAGATGGCAGATATTTCTGCAAGAATGGTGGGCAGGGAGATATCAGTCTTCCCTTCCAAAAAGCTGCATAAGCACTCAGCATGACCCTGCCCAACTTTTAGAATGGTGTGTGCAGGTTAATTCTATATTTTGTTCTGCTCCATGCAACATTAAAGTGATCTTGTTGCTCTACCCTACATGAACATAGTACAGATTTATTTTAAAAAGGACTAGCATATAAAGGCTTTTATTTTTTTTTAATTTCCTTCCAACGTCTGTTTATGAAGCAGTTTGGAAGGATCTGGAATGCTGTGTCAGCATTATGAAATGAAACTTACAAAGCCATGTACACCTTCATTATAATCTCTGCATTTGCTTTGTTTGCATAAATGTACCGTGCTCTATTCAGCTGCATCTAAACCACTATACCCCCACTTACAAGTCAGTGTGAATGCAAACATAAACCTTGTTTCAGTGTTTAGTTTATGAATACACATGTGTAGGAGGACAGCCATACATTGTTCATTACATAGGCAGGTTCTGCTTCCTGCAATGACTGTGCTCATTTCTCTTTGTACAAGACCAAGGGTGGCCACAGGTGGCAGATAGTTCTCAAAGAACAATGGGCAGGGAGATTATTGGTCTTCCCTTCCAAAAAGTTGCACAAGCACCATGACTCAATATGACCCTTCCCAACTTTTATAGTGGCGTATGCAGGTTACTTTTATGCTTTAATCTGCTCCATATCAGATAATCTTTGGGCCTATATACTGGGAGATGATCCAACAAGTTGAAGGTGCTCATAATGCCCTAGGAGTTCAGAAACCACATTAGAAGCAGTGTAACTACTGGGCTGCTTATGGCAACCCTATGGATTAGGTATGGCCTTACTAACTGTATGAAGAGGACTGTAGGAAGAGCTTCTTACCCGAAAAACAAAACACTCTCCAGTTCCAAAGAAGCTCAGCTTGTTTCCGCTTTTCTTGCGTGAATTCCAGTCAGTAGATAGGTATGCACCACACACCTAGAAAACAGACAGAACCACAGAAAAAGGGAGAGAGACTGAAAATGATCAAATCAACATAAGTAGAGGTTTTTTTCACGGTCAGCAATTACACACCTATCACGTATGGTCACAAATATAAATATTATTTAGTATTTTTAATAGAAAATATGATATTCTTTCCTGATGTACCTGGACAGGTACATGGTAAAGCCTTTTTCCTCAACTACCGATGCGCTGTAAATTTCAACTGATATGCATCAGGTTAGCTGTAAACAAACTAATCAGTCAGAGTTCCATGTTCCTTTCACTTGTCACAAAGGATATAAGCTGGCAAGGTAATATATAACATCCACTTCCTACTGGGACTAGCAATACTTTCTCCAAGAAGGAAGGTATTTCTTCTTGCCCAGAAATATAACTGCCCATAACTGCTCCGAAATAAATAAAATAGCAAGGATAGGAAGTAAAGAGCAGACAGACCAGAGACATTAAGCCAACAGGACCAAAGAGCTCTAGGCACAGTTTTAGAAGAGTTGTAGATTGATAAGGAAAGCATGAAGGCAAGTGTATTTATTTAAAGTAGAACTATGGGCCGGGCCGCCGCCCCCCCCCCCCCCCCCCCATTTTGGATAGAGCAAGGGAGGGTTATAACCCCCGTCAGTTTTTTTTTCCCAATCTGTGTCCCATTGGGGAGATTTACTCTCATTCCCTGTCCCATAAGGGAAACAGGCAGTGTAAATGAAGGGAATCTCTAGGGACCGCCAGGTCATCAGAACTAGTGTCCCCATTAGAAGATTTCCCCTCTATTGCTTTTCTGGGGACAATCCAAAAATTTGGGTTTTTTCCTTTTACTTTCAATGTTATCAGTAAACAAGAGAAATAGAAACTGCATATATCTCTGTAATGGGGACACAGTAATAAAAACTGACAAGTGTTCTAATCCCTCTCCACGTACAGAAAAAAAAAAAAAAAAAAAAAAAAAAAAAAGTAGTTTTGCCGTTAGCTATACTTTAAAGAAATACAAATTGAAGGAGGCTGAGGGTTTAACGCTCCATGGTGTTTCTCCTATTCATTATTAAAGCCAGATACGGATATTGGATTGATGGCTGAATAAGTATCCCGATACTATTCTCAATCCTTTGCTGTTAGACTTTTCTGCTTAGCGCCTTTGATTTTTGGAAGATGCCAAAAGTGCCAACAAGGGCTCAAAAATTTACTCTGTATGGTCAGCTTAAAACAATATATTAGATGCATTGGTTATGTGACCAGCCTAAAACAGAACTGCACTTACACAAAACATACATCAGTACTAGTCCCTGCAACCTTTAGAGAAATAATTTTTTGACTTCCATTTCCAGCAGCATGGCCTAGCCTTCTTCTTGTATCTGTCTAGTGGTAGTAAGGAACGGCTTCACAGCACACAGTTGTGCTGCTTAGAGACAGGAGACCCGCTCTGCATTTTGTTGAACAGTCAACCTGTTTTCCCAGACTAGATTCATTACAGCACAGCAGAAGATCTCAGGAGGCAATGCTGCTGAAAACAGGCCAACTGCGACCTATGACACTTGGCACTCAGCCTTGCAGACTATGATATACATGTGGTTTCCATATGCAGATCCTTTTCCTGCTTTTAAGAAATTTCTTTTGTTTTTTATGCTTTTCCTTTTCATGGATCTGTAGGTGTCCTTAATCCACTTTTTTTTTTGTTGGCAAGTTTGACCTTCAGTGTTTGGATCTTAATAGAAGGTCAGTGGCTGCTTATCATCTACAGTCAGGTCCATAAATATTGGGACATCGACACAATTCTAACATTTTTGGCTCTATACACCACCACAATGGATTTGAAATGAAACGAACAAGATGTGCTTTAACTGCAGACTGTCAGCTTTAATTTGAGGGTATTTACATCCGATCAGGTGAACGGTGTAGGAATTACAACAGTTTGCATATGTGCCTCCCACTTGTTAAGGGTCCAAAAGTAATGGGACAATTGGCTTCTCAGCTGTTCCATGGCCAGGTGTGTGTTATTCCCTCATTATCCCAATTACAATGAGCAGATAAAAGGTCCAGAGTTCATTTCAAGTGTGCTATTTGCATTTGGAATCTGTTGCTGTCAACTCTCCAGATGAGATCCAAAGAGCTGTCACTATCAGTGATGCAAGCCATCATTAGGCTGAAAAAACAAAAAACAAACCCATCAGAGAGATAGCAAAAACATTAGGCGTGGCCAAAACAACTGTTTGGAACATTCTTAAAAAGAAGGAACGCATCGGTGAGCTCAGCAACACCAAAAGACCCGGAAGACCACGGAAAACAAGTGTGGTGGATGACCGAAGAATTCTTTCCCTGGTGAAGAAAACACCCTTCACAACAGTTGGCCAGATCAAGAACACTCTCCAGGAGGTAGGTGTATGTGTGTCAAAGTCAACAATCAAGAGAAGACTTCACCAGAGTGAATACAGAGGGTTCACCACAAGATGGAAACCATTGGTGAGCCTCAAAAACAGGAAGGCCAGATTAGAGTTTGCCAAACGACATCTAAAAAAGCCTTCACAGTTCTGGAACAACATCCTATGGACAGATGAGACCAAGATCAACTTGTACCAGAGTGATGGGAAGAGAAGAGTATGGAGAAGGAAAGGAACTGCTCATGATCCTAAGCATACCACCTCATCAGTGAAGCATGGTGGTGGTAGTGTCATGGCGTGGGCATGTATGGCTGCCAATGGAACTGGTTCTCTTGTGTTTATTGAGGATGTGACTGCTGACAAAAGTAGCAGGATGAATTCTGAAGTGTTTCGGGAATATTATCTGCTGATATTCGGCCAAATGCTTCAGAACTCATTGGACGCCGCTTCGCAGTGCAGATGGACAATGACCCAAAGCATACTGCAAAAGCAACCAAAGAGTTTAAGGGAAAGAAGTGGACTGTTATGCAATGGCCAAGTCAATCACCTGACCTGAATCTGATTGAGCATGCATTTCACTTGCTGAAGACAAAACTGAAGGGAAAATGCCCCAAGAACAAGCAGGAACTGAAGACAGTTGCAGTAGAGGCCTGGCAGAGCATCACCAGGGATGAAACCCAGCGTCTGGTGAGGTCTATGCGTTCCAGACTTCAGGCTGTAATTGACTGCAAAGGATTTGCAACCAAGTATTAAAAAGTGAAAGTTTGATTTATGATTATTCTGTCCCATTACTTTTGGTCCCTTAACAAGTGGGAGGCACATATGCAAACTGTTGTAATTCCTACACCGTTCACCTGATTTGGATGTAAATACCCTCAAATTAAAGCTGACAGTCTGCAGTTAAAGCACATCTTGTTCCTTTCATTTCAAATCCATTGTGGTGGTGTATAGAGCCAAAAATGTTAGAATTGTGTTGATGTCCCAATATTTATGGACCCGACTATGTATTTTTGGTGGCGCATGACCTTTCCTGAAATGTAATTTACACAATGTAATGTATCCAGGTACATCTGTTTAATTTATTCTCTCTTTATGCTTTGTTTTTTTTTTGCAGATTACAATACAGATACAAACACAAAACAAAGAAAAAAAAAAAAACAGGCTAATTGTAAATGACTCATTAGAGAAGATGTAATAATACAAAGACATAATACATTACACCTCGATCTGCCAGGCTCCCTTCATCTGTGTGATGATGTCAGAGTGCGACAACCAGCAAGAGTCTTAGAGAAGAAGCTTTGGGGGACAGATTACACAGATGGAGGGGGCCTGACAGACCAGGGAAAAAAGGCAAATCGTACAACTTATTGCTCAACCCCTAGATTTTAGAAGCATTCAACCCCTGCAATGCAAGGGTAGTTTTGTTTAATTCCCCAAATTTAAAACAGAGCTCCACCCTATAGCAATCGTGCACACAGAGATGGACGCGGTCATCCATTTTGGTCCAAACCCCTCCATCTTGTATCTCTCTCTCCCAAATCAGATTCCTCTGATATCCCCCCTCCCTCTCTGTTGAGTGACATGTGGTCTGGATGATGACAGATCACAGGCAGCAAGCTCAGCGGGAGAGCTCCAGGGCTATAAATCCCAATTAGCCTGGCCCCCAGATGTCTGAGACTGCTTGGAAAAGGGATCCTAAAGCCATAAACCAAGCCCTCACTGAGTTTCAAAGACATTCCAGGTAGTCGTAAACCAGACTTACATTTAAAAATCCACTTTTCCCCTAGGATTACATATCTTGGGCTATGAGAGACATACATAAAAACTGGGCATGTATTCAGATTGGTCTCGTTAATACAAGTCGTCTGATATATTACATCCCCTAGCTGGCATCAACAAGAGAGCAGAAAAAGATATCTCCTTAACCATCCCAGCAGGTGTATATTTCATACCTAGACGTTCAGCAAGTGATTCTGTGTATTAATCTAGTGGCAAGGCTGCTAAATGCACCGAGAATAAGTTATGAACCATGACATCAAATGTAAGGTTTTTTGGTCATAGCTTGGGTCTCCACCTACAACACCCGCCCAAATGAGGTGATTGGTTCTCTGTTTCAGGGAGACACCCTGCTGAGTTCCTAGAAAAAGCTAAGCTAAGTGTAGTTGAAGATTCTTCCTTTTAACATCGGAACTAACTTTGGGAGATAAGGCATCCTTTTGGCTCTGAAACCTGATCTGCTTAAACCAAGGCTGATGGCAAGTACTTTATCCCTCTAAAACTCCTGTTATCTCTTTGCTGTGCTATTGCTCTCTGTGTGTGTATAATATCTATCATTTTTTCTGTAAATAATTTTTATTGCACCCTTATGACCTTTAAGTAATAAATCTTACTTTCTGAAAGTGTTGAACTGTTTCTAAAGCTCTTTAATGCAAACTAATAACCCCTGCCTCTGAAGAGCGCTACTGTGTGTGTTTTAAACTTCAGTATATCTCTGCCTGCAGTGACAGCGGTATACCGATGCTTATGCAAACATCATAGTGTTATTGCTGATATTGCCGAGTTTCCTCTTACTTTGTACAAAAAAGGAGGTGGTGGCAGTGTGAAGGGTTAACAGCATAATTAACCTGACCCAGTAACAATCGCTCCCAGGCTGCAGATACACAGATTGTGGTCCATTAGCTGGAAAATCTTTGTACAGGGTGCAGCTGGGCGTGGCATTGTTACGCACGTGACAGCGCGGTTTTAGATTGGCTAGTCCTTCGGTCACGAGTTTGGTGAGAAGGGCTGGAGTCTGAAGCCGCGATCCTCACACACCCAAAAGGGGAAGTTCTGCTTTAAAGACTGGTCCCCCACTCCTCATTAAGGATTGGCACCTTTGGGGGGGGTTTGTTGCGGGTACCCAAATTTGACAGGTACCCGCTCCCACTTCTGCTCCGATCGCCTAGGTCAGTGATGGTGAACCTTTTTGAGCCCGAGTGCCCAAACTGCAACCCAAAACCAACTTATTTCTTTCAAAGTGCCAACACTGCAATGAAACCTGAATATCGAGCTTTTGGTTTAGAAAAAAACAACTCGTACAGTAGTGCAAACTAATTAACAGTACAGGGATGACCAGAGAGACTGCGGACACAGTACAGGAGATGACCAGAGACTGCGGACACAGTACAGGAGATGACCAGAGACTGCGGACACAGTACAGGAGATGACCAGAGACTGCGGACACAGTACAGGAGATGACCAGAGACTGCGGACACAGTACAGGAGATGACCAGAGACTGCGGACACAGTACAGGAGATGACCAGAGACTGCGGACACAGTACAGGAGATGACCAGAGACTGCGGACACAGTACAGGAGATGACCAGAGACTGCGGACACAGTACAGGAGATGACCAGAGACTGCGGACACAGTACAGGAGATGACCAGAGACTGCGGACACAGTACAGGAGATGACCAGAGACTGCGGACACAGTACAGGAGATGACCAGAGACTGCGGACACAGTACAGGAGATGACCAGAGACTGCGGACACAGTACAGGAGATGACCAGAGACTGCGGACACAGTACAGGAGATGACCAGAGACTGCGGACACAGTACAGGAGATGACCAGAGACTGCGGACACAGTACAGGAGATGACCAGAGACTGCGGACACAGCACAGGAGATGACCAGAGACTGCGGACACAGTACAGGAGATGACCAGAGACTGCGGACACAGTACAGGAGATGACCAGAGACTGCGGACACAGTACAGGGGATGACCAGAGACTGCGGACACAGCACAGGGGATGACCAGAGACTGCGGACACAGCACAGGGGATGACCAGAGACTGCGGACACAGCACAGGGGATGACCAGAGACTGCGGACACAGCACAGGGGATGACCAGAGACTGCGGACAGCACAGGGATGACCAGAGACTGCGGACAGCACAGGGATGACCAGAGACTGCGGACAGCACAGGAGATGACCAGAGACTGCGGACAGCACAGGGATGACCAGAGACTGCGGACACAGCACAGGGATGACCAGAGACTGCGGACAGCACAGGGATGACCAGAGACTGCGGACAGAACAGGGATGACCAGAGACTGCGGACAGCACAGGGATGACCAGAGACTGCGGACAGCACAGGGATGACCAGAGACTGCGGACAGCACAGGGATGACCAGAGACTGCGGACAGCACAGGGATGACCAGAGACTGCGGACAGCACAGGGATGACCAGAGACTGCGGACAGCACAGGGATGACCAGAGACTGCGGACAGCACAGGGATGACCAGAGACTGCGGACAGCACAGGGATGACCAGAGACTGCGGACAGTACAGAGATGACTGCTGACCTTTGGGGAGGGAGGGGGAGCGGGTACCTGAATTTGACAGGTACCCGCTCTTACTTCCGCAGAGTTTTTTTTTTTCCATCTTACCTGTTCCTTTATCCAGCCGCGCGCTGTCTTCCCGGCTTCTGTAGTGTGGGCGCTCGTCGGACAGCCGGATGTCCAGTGCGCATGCGCGAGAAGCGCTGCGCTTTGTGATTGGTCCGGCGGCTTCTGGGATCTGTCATGTGTCCCAGGTACCGCCTTACCATTCACAAAGAGCACTGCTTCTTGTGCATGCGCACTTGGGACCCGGCTGTCACGCACACTACAGCCGGGAAGACAGTGCGCCGCTGGATTCTCCTGGCGTGCCCACAGATAAGGCTCGGCGTGCCGGCTGTGGCACGCGTGCCACGGGTTCGCCATCACTGGCCTAGGTGATCGGAAGCGGAAGGTGTCCTCCCTCCCTCCCTGTAGTCTTTTGGGACACGTGACAGGTTTCAGAAGACTACAGGAGCATTCAAGAAGCACAGCACTACTCACACATGCGCAGTTGGTGCCCGGCTGTGAAGCTGCAAGCTGTCACACTGAAGATGCTGGTGCCCAGGGAGCCAGGGAGAGAAGACGGCCATTAAAACGGGCTGCAGGGGACACACCGCGGGACTGAGGGAAAGGCGAGAGTGTTTTTTTTTTTTTTTTTTTGTAAAAGTCAGCAGCTACAGTTTTTTTAGCTGCCAACTTATTTTTTGACAGGGTGAGTGAAACTCCACTTAAGGCACAGACCCACAACAAGCATGATGCAAATACATGTTGGTTCCTTCTCCTTATACTCGTTCCGGGTCAGTGACTCTAACCTCACGGAAGGCAAAGCATCAGCATGACCGCCTGGGAACTAGCGTATTTACAAGAAGTCAGCATCTTTTTCATTCATTCATGATGGGATCACATTAAGTAGGAGTAGTCCATCAAACTGACTTTTTTTTTTTTTTAACAGGTGATCAAACTGACATTTTTAAGGCTCCATGGACAAGTACAAATAGATCGTTTTTTGTGAAAATGAAAAAAATAGATAAAGCGCACCAACCTCCTGCAATACAATTAATCTATTGGGGAAAAATGTGAAGGATTAAATTTACAAATATAAGATAAAAACAGTGCTCATCTTTGTACCATGCTAGGAACAAATACTGGATGAGAAGCCCACTCAAGGTGGCCAATGGTGGATCTTTTCAGCTTGAGCGGCCAGAGATGACAGAATCAGCATAACGCAGAACTGGCTGAAAATAGCTGGAAATGTGGAGCATCTCACATCTGCTAGGATTAAAGGCGCCCCTGCCTCCCCCTCCACTTAACAAGAATCACCTGGGATCTTGTACAGTTCTATGTTTGTTTTTAGTGCTGGCATCACCACCATCCCTTTGGATGTGATGAAGCATTTTTGTAAGAGGAGCTATATATTTGTAGTAACTGCAGTACATACAAGTGAAAAAACCCTTGCCTAAAAATTGAAAAAAAACTGCAGCTCTTGTAGTTTAAAAAAAGTAATGATAGGTACAAAAACTTACATCTAAATGGATAGAAGGGATACGGGGTTTCAAATGTTAAATCTGGCAGCAATTAAAATGTTTGCTTTATTAAATGAAAATGAAGAGGAATAGCGTTCCTCTCAGTGTTTAGTTTCCAGCTCCTGCTAATTAAAAGCAAGTTGTCTGGCTAAACATTAACACTTAAAAGCGGTTGTAAACAACATTTCCTTTTCCAACAAAATTTTTATATTTACCTGCTGTGTGCTATGGTAGTGCAAAGCAGCCCCAAACCTCCTCTTCTGAGGTTCCCCGCCAGCGCTCTCAACTCCTGCTCTTTTTGGTGCGCCTCCACAGGAAGCCACTTCCTATGGAGGCACCTGTCGGCTTGCTCCAGAGTTTGGCTTTGTGCCTTCAGACATACACAGTCTATACAGTTTATATAGTGATCCAAGCTGCTGCAACTGTTCGGTAAATATTTTGATTGGACCAGCTTGGCCCGAATTTGAAGTTAAATGAAACCTGGAGATCAGCTTTACCTTCTTTAAAGTTATAAAGCAAATTTTAGTGCACAAAGTACCAGTAACCTGCAAACATAACTACATTTCTGATGTCTTGCATTTCAGTGCTAGAAGTTCACAACAGAGAGAGGTGACTGATCGTCACCGCTCTCTGCTCATAGCAGACAGTGAACTGCGCAGTCATGCGATTGTTCAGTTCTCAAGCTTAGCTTTGGCCAGGACAGCTGCAGCATCACAGCGATGCTGCAGCATTGATGAGTATGTATGTTTGATTTTTTTTTTTTTTTAATAACCTCACATCTCTATTAAAAAGTATTAAAGATACTATCGTCAGCTTGTGTATGCCATAATACATACCTCTTGGCTGCTGGTTTTGATCAGTAGTAGGGTGGGCTCATGCCCTTCAGAATGCAAGTAAAACCTGGAAAAATACAGCAGAGGTGAGCCAGAATAAAGGCTAAATCAGTTTAAAAGCAGTACTAAATCCAAAAGAAAAACTTTTTTCTTTTACAGCTTACCAATTATTAGATTTCCTTTTTAAGCTTTCCTTCTTCTATTTTCATCTTACACCAAGGGGTTGATTTACTAAAAAACTGGAGAGTGCAAAATCTGGTACATCTCTGCATAGAAACCGATCTGCTTCCAGGATTTGTTTCTCCCAAAGCTTAATTGAACAAGCGGAAGTTAGAAGCCGATTGGGTACCATGCACAGAGTCACCAGATTTTACACTCTACAGTTTTAGTAAATCAACCCTTAAGTAAAAATAATAAAAAGGGGCCTAGCTCCATCCTGTGGTTTTACCCTTGCACCTACATACAAGTGCAATTGTGTCCTAGAGAAAAAGCCACTCTCCCAGTGTTCATAGCAGGACCTGCATATGGGATGTCCAAATGCTGCCCCCCCCCCACCCCATAATAATAATAAAATAATTATATATATACATATATAATCTATCATAAAACACACACACAACCAACCGTAATGCCTTTATTTACTCAACATTTCAGCTACGCAGCAAAGCCCTAAAATTTCCATTACTGATCAGGTGTGGGAACTCTATTATTATGAATGTTAGTAGCTCTTGTAGATAAAGAATTAAAAAAAAAAAAAAAAAAAGTAATATATAATATATATATATATATATATATATATATATATATATATATATATATATTATATTATTTAGAGCACAACGAAATTACATTTGGAACCAAATATTTTCAGGACAGGGATAAATGAGACAGCATGTGACATAGTACTGAAACGTTTAGCAACCTTTTCCTAATTGTCTGGTAAGCATGTTAATGAAGGTCTGTTCAACAGTTCCATTTCTCTTTACCGCTTTTCCAGAAAAACATGGAGCTTTCATTTGTTTGCAATAAAAGAGAAAAGTAATTTGCAATTAAGTTCTCTAGGGTTTCCTTTATTTGAACTCATAACTAAAAGCGAGTAAAAGGGAAAAGCATTTAAAAAAAAAAAAAAAAAAAAAAAAAAAAAAAAAAAGGGAGGTTGTGGATACTGCGGACTGGGGGTTGTATTCAGGGCACTTAGACTGGAGAAGCCTAAGGTATTATCAGGCCCTATTAGGTCTGCATTCAATAACGAGGCCCGATTGTACATGACAAATTTACTTTAATGGAAAGCATATGGATGCAGGTTATTGAAACTTGAAGTATACAAACATGGCAGACTTTTAGGATTCAAATATTATACAATTATATTATTGCCAATCCAATCCTTTGACGAGAGAGTGAGGGGCAGGATGAGCCCTGCTGTGTCTATGGACACAGGCAGCGCACTGCAGGATCAAATCCACAGGTGTGCCACAAAAGGAAGTGGCTTTCTATGGGGGCACTTTCCAAAAAGAGGAGGAGCAAGAAGAGGCAGCGGGCGGACTCTAGAAGAGGATCTGGGCTGCTCTGTGCAAAACCATTGCACAGAGCAGGGAAGTATAACAGCTTTATTATTAAAAGATTGTAAGCTCCCAGGATCAGGGCCCTCCTAACCCTCTTGTATTGAACTGTATTGTTGCTGTATTGTCTCCAGTTATATTGTAAAGCGCTGAGCAAACTGTTGGCGCTATATAAATCCTGTATAATAATAATATATAAAATCCTGCATAATAATAATAATAATAATAATAATATATAAAATCCTGTATAATAATAAATAATAATATATAATAATCCTGTATAATAATAATATAATAAATATATAAATCCTGTATAATAATAATAATAAATAATAAATAATATAATAAAATCCTGTATAATAATAATATATTGTAAAGTGCTGAGCAAACTGTTGGCGCTATATAAATCCGATCAATAATAATAAATAATAATGTGTAATGAACACAGCAACCAATATCATATTCACTGCTCTGACCTCAGTCAACAAAGACTGCTTACTAGGGCTTACTTCCTTTTATCATTACTGTTCTTTTGGATTGCTTTACTAAATAATCACAACAGTAGTAAAATTAGGAAAAAAAAGCAAGAAATTCACATCTTGTGCATCACAATCACAATTGATAGAACACCAGCCAAGCATGGGAAGAGATAAGAACCTCCATCAGGTTTCTATTGCTCTTTGTGTCTCCATTTTGGAGATTTACCCTTACATCCTGTCCCTGTGATAAGAGGTAAACTTGCTCCCAACAGCAATAAAAACCCACAGAGGTTCTAACCCTTAAGTTTTGGTTGAGGGGTTCAGCTGTTAACCGCATGCACGATCTAGCTGGAAGCGGAAATAGTAGCAGCACTGCAGAAAACTCAGGGCTCTCACCTGCTGAGGCTATTGCCATGCTCCCGGTTGGTGAAGAGCAGAAGCGGCTGGCAGAGGGCAAACCTTTCCGGAATCCAGGACCAGATGTCTCGCATCTCCTTCACACTCACAATGTCAGACTTGAAGTTTTCAGCATGTACAGCCAAGTGAACATTCTGTCTGTCAGACACAAAGTGTTACAGAAATCCATTAGACAGTATTATAGACTTTGGATATATATCCCTTTTGAAAGTCCTAATCAGGACCGGTCACTTTCATGGCAAGCTTAGGATCAGGATTTTTTTCTCCTACTAATGTTTTTTGGATTCTAGCTCAGAGGAGCTAGTCACCTACACAACTGGAACGGTGTGCAACCTAATCACTTCTTTTACGGCTCTTCAGTTTGGCTTAGCTTCAAGAGGAATCCCTGAATGATGGCCATGTATAGCACAGTAAGGGCCACATGCAGTCCAGTGTGTTTTTCCAGCATCAAAAACGCATGGAAAGTAGGTTATATGGTTTCCAGTGGCATAGTTCACACCAGGGGCGGACTGACAACTCATGGGGCCCCCAGGCAATAGGGGCTCATGGGGCCCCTGTGTCCTTGCCCAAACTCAAAAAAGCCTATGAAAAAAAGGTACCAGGGGCATCTCATGGGGCCCCCTACTGAACCCGGGCCCTCGAGCAGTGCCCAAGTTTCCAAATGGTCAGTCCGCCACTGGTTCACACAAGTGCCGTCAGATCCCGATGAACAAATAAATAAAGAGAAGGTGGAACATGCTGCATTTTTCCTGAACTGGAGCATGGGGTCCAGTACATTTTTTGATGCATTTTACCATGCTCCAGTTCAGGAAAAATGCAGCACGTTCCACCTTCTCTTTTGTTTTTTTTTTCTTCTCACTGTACTTGGGGTCCAGTGCATTTTTGATGCATTTTTGTTCCAGTGCAGGAAAAATTTGTTCCACCTTCTTCTCACTGTACTTGGGGTCCAGTACATTTTTAATGCATTTTACCAAGTACAGTGAGAAAAAAATAAAAATAAAAAAATAAAAGAGAAGATGGAACATGCTGCATTTTTCCTGCACTGGAGCATGGTAAAATGCATCAGAAATGTACTGGACCCCAAGTACAGTGAGAAAAAAAAAAAAAAAAAAAAAAAAAAAAAAAAAGAGAAAAGCATCTGGAAACGCATAAAAATGCATGCTGAAACACCTGGAATGGACCTGCAGTGCATTTTTGTGGTATGGGTATGAACAGGCCCTAACAAATGCTCCAGCTGTCAAGCATCAATTCTGAAAAGGGGGAGAAGGGAAAAAAAAAATGCACCAGAACGCATCAGAGACACATTAAAAACACGCATGCAGAAATGCATCTGGACTGCGTTTTTATGGCGCGAACTGGCCCTTAGTATAGAAGAACAATCCCATAATTCTGATTAGACTAAAGGCAGATAATGAGCTTTAGAACTGCATCACTTATTAGCTCGCGAATTCCTAAAAGGCTGGTCAAAATCCACCCAATGATTGCAAGTAAATGCTCCAAGTGAGAGAATTGTTATAAGGCCATGTACAACCACTTGTAGATATACTGTTGATGCAAAGACAAACTGAATCACATGCGATGCTTAATGACCACAATTCACACAGGTTCTGTAAAAGGCAAACAAAAAAACAAACAAAAAACAACAAAACAAAACCACAAAAAAAACAAACAAAAAAAGCAAAATAAATAAAAAAAAAAAAACACCAAACAACAAAAAAAACACGACGCACACTTTTTTTGCAGCGACACTGTTGTACAAAATTACCTATAAAACGCCTAACCTTTCTATCACTTGAATGTTCTGGGCTTATCGGTTTCTTAGCAACAGAAGAAAAGCCTGAGAAGATTACGCTAATCATGGATCAAGTGCCAAGACGAAACAGCAAGAATTGGGCGTTTAACGGCTATATATACACAGCTGCAGTTTTGACATTTGCATTTCTCAAGGTGTTCAGGTCGGACGCAGCCCTAAAAACGAGCAAGCAATGCAACAGACTGGGCACTGGGTGAGAAGTTTGGGTCATGCACTTTGTTAACTAAAGAGCGACAACATGTAGTTCCAAGCTAGCTGCATGTACAGCTACTGCACATTTCTATACAGCTCTACCCTTTTTCTATAGTTCTGATGCAGACTGCAGCAAGTCTTGACAATATGTGAAAGAAAGGACTATGCAGTTTCTACCAGACTTATCAGGATAGGAACGGAATCTGCATGTCTGCGGCAACCCATAGCCCATGCCTATAGGGCTTAATTTTCACTAGCATTGCAACTGAAGGAAATGATGGGATTGACCAGCAAGAACTAGCAATGCATGGATGGGGTCTACTGTACAGGTCGTTTAGCCCATTCTAAAATTTTTGAAAAAAGTTAAAATGCATTTCTAGCCACGTTTTGGTTGGAACCCTTTAAAAGGTTCAGATTATCCAATGCCCCTTTGAATCCAGAGAAGGGCAACAAAACTAATAATGGGACTGGAGGACTTCAGTTATGAGGAACAATTACACTTAGTTTCCCTGGAGAAGAGACGTTTAAGAGTTTTGTATATTGCCATCATATCTCCTCTTAGGCAGGCCATAGACAGGCCGTTTATCAACCGAATTGTCGGATGATAAACGAAAAATCGGTCGGCGCCATTGCCCATGCTGCCACCATTGTCCACGAAAAACGTCCATTTTTCATGGATTTTCCAGCATGACCGATTGTAAACGAGACGATCCACAAAAAATGGCCGACGGGCGGGCCCAAATAACGGCATGAATATCGGCCGATTTTTCGTTTCGGGAGAAAAAAAAACGGCCGATAAACGACCAGTCTATGGCCTGCATTAATGGCGAGTCCAATATTGGGAGGAAACTCTTCGGTCTCAGATCACACAAGAGGACACGTGGCCACTCAGTTGGACGAGAAGTGGTCCTTAAACTGTAGTAGTTTTATTTATTTTTTTACTGTCAGCAGTAAGGAAACTTCCTTCCACAATTGGTGGTTTCAGTGGGAAATGTCACTAATAAAAGAAAAAAAAAAAAAAAAAAAACACAACTTTATTAGTGACATTTTCCCACTGAAACCACCAATTGTGGAATGAAGTTCCACATCCTTACTGCTGACAGTAAAAAAAAAAAAAAAAACTTTTAGATGAGCATCTTATCGAACACAATATACAGAAATATTGGAAGTGGTAGAGACATAAATATACTAACATAGGTAGAACTAGACAGACTAATGTCTTTATTCAACCTTACAAACCATGAATCCCTTACAAAAAGGTACAACAAAATAAATAATAATAAAAAAAAAAAATTCCGACCCTGGACAGAGTCCTGGGAAGAGAGCCTTGAAGACAGTTCCAAGCTGGTTATCTCCTTGAGGGACAAATCAATTCATACCAAAATTTGTGGACAGGGTGCATTCACCTCAGGGGTTGCACAGAATCCATCCATAGAGATCCCGGGATTGTACCAGGTGTCGTACATCTGTAGGCACCTTCTTTCACATGTTTTGGTCCTGTCCTAGGGTGGCAGTTGTGGACGGAGGGGTTTGATCTAATCGCTCATTTACAGCTGTCCTTACCATGCTCACCTGAATTGGCTCTCTTGGGGGGATACAGGATTATGAACAGTGGACTAGGTATCAGAAACTGCTAGTTTCCCCATCTAACGTACTATACTAACAAGGAAATCCTTTGTAGGTGGACCTCCCCCTCCTCTCCCACGCTAGTATCATGGGAGTCTGTGATTAATACTTTGCTACCCATGTATAAATTGAATAGGAATTGTCCTGGGAAATATGTTAAAGTCAATGAGTAGCACAATGAGTATTTTTGCATCCCTTCCTCATGATGCCTTTGTGTCAAGCTTTCGCTGCTCGTTTTGTCTGCTTACCCTAATACTAGGCTCTATGAACCACTTTGGAGGTTGTTGCCCTTTACCCATGCATGCTTGACACTTGTATTTTATTTTTTGACCCAGTATGCTCTGATATACTACAGCTTTGTTTTTTTTTTTTTTGCTTGAATCTGCTGTGATTGTACCATCAATGTGATCAATAAAAGCAATTCTGGTTATTTCTTTTAAAGTCCTTAGCTTTCCTGGCTAGGACTTCCCTCCTATTTCCCTTTTCTGTTCTTCTGAGTAATAGTGGGTGGCCAATATGGCCCCAGCATTTCATACACAATGGCCACACTGCTTCTGTTAATTACCTTTTATAGACCTATCTGTTGGAGGGAGTTTTAGGACTTCCTCTATTGCTACTGTAGAGACAGTCAGATTCAGAGACTGCTGATAAATAAATGGATGAGAGTGTATAATGCATTTTTATATACTGTATACTTACAGGTTAAAGAAGTCAAACACTATATTATTATTATACAGTATTTATATAGCGCCAAAGGGTATGCTCAGCGCTGTACAGTAGCAGGGGGACAGAACATGAGACAAGACAGTAACAATACACTACACGAGGGGTTTGAGGTCCCTGCTCTTTCGAGCTTACAATCTATATATCACATAACTACCCAAGTATACACATTGGCACTTCTGCATTTGTAAATCTGCTCTAAGTTGGATCGTTCCCTCTTCTGGCAGAGTCAGTGAATTCCTGCTGGTCTTTATTACACCCCTTGTTTCATTACACATGCACCCCCCAGTTAGTATTTCCATGGATATGCTTGAGGGAAGCACATAGTTTGCCATGCGATGAGAGACAATAAGCTGGTATTGTATATCATGCAATCTGCTCTGCCCTTCTCTTCCCAGCCTTCACTTGGTTGGCATTGGACAAAAGATTTGCCGTTAGTGAACAGAGAGCCTTATAAATAAAGCATTAAAAATTAATTCTTTCAGGTTGTCTGGGATACTTGACCATAAGACTGCCAACAAGCAGAGAAATCTAAGGACAGTCTGTAAAAGAACGCAGGTTAACTGAGGATCCCTTGAGTAAAAATCAGCGAGAAAGAAAAAAAATTTCCAAAATGTATTAATTTTTCTGACTTTTCTGTATTTGACAATCAGTGCTTTTATCATGTTAATCCAATGCTGAGCTGAAATTTTGTAGTTGTTTTTAAGAACCCAATAGCAAGGAACTCTAAACTTTCAAGCACAGTTTCTATGAAGCATGCCATAGCTACTTGCTAACACATACCAATCCGAAATGTAAAAATGTAACGAATAAAAAGCACCACTGCCATCAAAAAGCAGACCATTGACCAGTTCAGGATTAGAAGGCCCCATTTACACACGTTCCGCCATTTGTAATTACATTTTGGGATAGGAATAGAAACAAAAGCTATGGTTTTTGTTTCTATTCCTACCCCAAAATGTAATTACAAATGGCGGAACGTGTGTAAATGGGTCCTTCTAATCCTGAACTGGTCAATGGTCTGCTTCTGAATTCTGCCACCAACACCATAACAGCTATTGGGTGATGTATGCCACCAGACTACACTTATGTCCAAATATCACAGACCCACGAACTTTAGGTTTGTCATCTTGATAACCTACCTTTCATTTGTCCATCCCTACACTATAAGACATAAGAGGAATCCATTATTCTACTTGATAACCTACCGTTCATTTGTCCATTCCTACATTATAAGACAAAGAGTCCATTATTCTATAGAAGTCGTTAAAAGGGAATATAAAAAGCGATCTTTCCCAACTAGATTCGGACTATGCAAGCACACCATTCTATTTATGTGTTTTTTTATTGTACTTGTATAGCCAGGAGTCGATATATCGCCCACCTAAAATGATCGGCCCGAAAAAAATAGTGTTATCAGCGTTTTGCCAATAGAAAAAAAAAAAAAAAAAAAAAAAAGGTGCTGAAATGGTATGCCGTGTCCCCTAGACTTTAATGCAAATTCGCGTCCCATAGATTAATGCAAAAAACACCCTCTAGTGACTTCAATGCAAAAAACGACAGCCACATTACTTAAATGTGTAAAAAAAAAAAAAAAAAAAAAAAAGAATGTCCATTTTGGTTTAGGTTTTTGGCCAAGTGCATCCTGAATTTCCAGTTTTAGTACCAGAGTTTTCATTTCGGTGCACCACTAGCAGGGGCCACAATTTTTTCATATTTGGAGGTTAAGCCCAATCCGTGCAAAGAGCTAAAAACTTTGCCCTACACTGCCCAACAGTCGAGTAATAAGGCCTCATTGGCCAATATAGAAGCTTACATTAGGACAGTTCAATGGGAGATATGAATATACTGTATACCTTCCGGTGTATGCCTTTACGGCACACAAATGTACTTGCATGCCCAGGATACACAATTGCCACATACAGTTGACCACAGTAATGAATGGCTGTATGTAGGTTCATGCTGCTACTTGCAAAAACCACACGCGTGTAAAACGGTTGACTCTTCCAAACATCAATACTTAAGTTCTCTTTAAAAAGCAACCTTAAAGTGGAACTTCCCTTAATCAATACTGACTATTTTTAATCCCTATACTGCTAGCATTAGTAAATAGAGTTTCTTTCGTTACTTCCTAGTTTCCAGGCCTAGGCAAATTATGTCATACATCCCAGGAGTCTTCAGGAGGGGCTTTTCCAGCTTAGAACACCCTCCTGCCAGCCTGGGCTAAGGGCAGACAAATTCCAGGAAGTAAATGCTCCATGAATCATATGCCCTTACCCAAGATGGTCATGGCCAAAAATGCTAGGGGGGTATTTTTCTAAGTGATTTCTTAAAAAAACAAAGCCTGGAGAAATGTATGGATAATGGAGTAGGCTTTAAATATTAAAAATGCATTGAATAGCGCATTTTGTTTGTGGCGTTCAGATACAGTGTAGTTCCGATTTAATATACCTCCAACTCGCTATTTCCATTAATTCTTATGCAAAGGACCAGCTACCATTGGGGCAAATAACAGACCTTCCATAAGAAAGAATGGAGGTTGTGGTACAATTCTGCAAAAGAACCATCTGGGGGACTTTTGAAGATGAAGTTTCTCAGCTCCCAACAGCCACACAGCAAAAACCTCTGAAGTGTAGGGAAGGGGACTAAACTAAATGTATTTTTTTTGCCAGCATGACAGTTAAAAAAACTAGCATTTTCAGCAAAAACAGCCCCTGTGTCTCTCATCGTAAACATAAATAGGCCTCAGACTATAAAAAGGTGAAAGAGTCAAAAGAAGATTAACAGTTCACAATTCAACCAAAAAAAAAAAAAAATCCATCCATCGCATTTCAGGGGCTACAAAACTCACCCTTCATCAGTGTGAGGGACAGTTTAGCAGCCCCTGAAATGAGCTCAATGTATTCTTATGTACAGAGTGTGAGTCTTCTTGGACTCCTTCACCTTATGGTCTGAGGTCCATTTCAATAGGATTACATTTGGAGTCATTTTTTAGCACCAATTTAGGGAGCCCTGTCTGTTTAGAGAGATGCCCAACTACACCAGGGTGTTTTCTGAGAAGTTTCTACATTTGAATAAAGCATAGGAATCCCAGCAACTCTCTAACAATTCTAACTGGAATTCCAATTTCTCTTGAATGACACGTTTCCTGTAAATATGTGGTATGGAAGATAGTGAGCGCTCCTATAAAAACAGCTGCTAAAACACCAAAAAGGTACCAAGATAAAACCTTCAATAGGATCAATAAAATATGGGTGTAGCGCTGAAATAAATATATGATAAATGAATTACCAATAAAAGGATAACCTGTAAGAATGTATAAATAAGTCCGCTAATAAAGTTCAAATATATAAAATCCCAGGATGGTGAAGTCAACAGCAGATAGACTTGGGACACCAACCAATAGTTAAAGTGCGCACTCACCGGAAGCGCATGGGTAATGCGCATATAATATAATAACCAACAAGGTATCTGAAGATAGGCGGGATAATTAGGTGAACTTTCTTCTATGGTGTAGTCATCAAGCCGTGAGAAATGATAGAAATCTGCTGGATCCAGAAGGTCCCCTTAAGGATGGATTAGGTGCTCAGCCTGGATTAGGTGCTTCCTCTGGTAGTGGTAAATCTCTGGGGATAACCTGCCGGACATCCGTCCTCCAACTCGGCCACCGGCCTCACGCCCCATGGTTGGTGGTTTTATTATATTATATGCGCATTACCCATGCACTTCCAGTGAGTGCGCACTTTAACTATTGGTTGGTGTCACAAGTCTATCTGCTGCTGACTTCACCATCCTGGGATTTTATATAATTGAACTTTATTAGCGGACTTATTTATACATTCTTACAGGTTATCCTTTTAGTGGTAATTAGTTTGTCATATTTCAGCGCTACACCCATATGTTTCCTGTAAAGCCTAAGTGCAGTCAAAACCAAAAACAGAAAAATCAGAACAAGGGACATAACTTACAGTCAGTAGGATGCGTCCCTTGTGACAATTCCTTATTTGATAGAAGCAATCTTACGCCACCCTGCCCCTCAAGAATGCCTGACTATGCACCCCCTTTCCCCCCAGCTCCACCATTCACAGAAACCATACTACAGCTTCTATGAATGAAACATGATCTATGAATGGAGGACAGGCAGATGATTGATAGCTCCCAGCCCCATTTATAAAAACTGTAGTACCACTTCCATGAATGACAGCTGAGCAGGCATAGACAGGCTCTCTTGACAGGTGCTGTGACAACCCTTTAGTTGTATCAACTCCTGCCACATCGGAAGATTATGGCGGCAGGGAGGGGAGCAGGGTGGAGAAGAATTACCATTTACAGCAGAGCAATCAACACAAGGGACACAGTCTACTGTCTGCAACTTAGATCCTTATGCTGATTTTTCTGTTTTTTTTTTTTTTTTTTTAATTTTGCCAGCACTTAGACTTTAACTTTCACTGAGATGAGGCTATGAAGTATGCTCAGTGGGGTTCTCGAACACCATATTATAAAACACATTTTACAATCATTTTCCTCCAGTAAACCCAACATCCTCCCAAAAGAGCTTAAACAACTTGTGACCACAATGCATGCTGAAGCATTTAAAGCAGTCTTGGACTGCAGCGCAGGGTAGTTAGTCAGCCAGGCAGCATCCGCTACTATTAGAACAGAGGAAGCAGAAGACAGCGCTGCGGTTAAGTACAGGACAGAACAGGGTGCAGCGAGGTCACTTACCGGACAGGAGACTTTACTCTGGAAAAAGGACAGGAAGAGGAAGTGACAAAGACAGAGAGAAGAAGAGAGTAAGAAACAGGAGTTATTTTATTGGTGAAAAAGGGATAACAACATTTTAAATTCATTGAAATCCACCACTTGTTGGCAACAGTTAAGAATCTGAAACCCACATTTATAGGCAAAAATTACATCAAGGATAAAAAAAAAAAAAAAAAAAAAAAAAAAAAAAAAAAGGCAGATTGCTATTGGCAATGGAATACACAGTTGTGCTCAAAAGTTTGCATACCCTGGCAGAAATCGTGAAATTTTGGCATTTATATTGAAAAATTACTGATTGTGCCAAAAAAAAAACGGAGCTGTTCTGAAGAAAAATAAGTAGTTTTTTTTTTTTTATGGTTTGTTTTAAAAAGGAGCACAATGTGATAATACTTGAACAAAAATGAGCTGCATGGTTGAGGTGCCAGAAAAAAAGCCTTTACTACAACAATGCCACAAAACAAAAAAACAAAAAACAAAAAAACACCCGGTGAGGCGTATCAAGGTGTTGTCGGGCATATTGGAACCAGGGTTTTTTTTGTGGCATTGGCTTCTTTCTGGCAGCTTGACCATGCAGGTAATTTTTGTTCATGTATTATCACATTGTGCTCTATAAAAAACAAAAAAACAAAACAAAAAAAACACCCAGTCTTTTTTCATAGCAGACCTGTATTTCTCCTGAGGTTACCCTGTGTGTTTTTTCTTTGTATTCCAACAACTCTTCGGGCAGTTGTGCCTGCACTCTTTTTCTTGGTCTTCATGACCTTGCCTTGGTATCAAAAGATACCCAAACTTTCAACTTCTGAATACGTTATTGAACAGTACTGACTGGCATAGTCAAAGCTTTGAATCTTTTTATATCCTTTTCCTTCTTTATAAAAAGTTCCATTACCTTGTTATGCAGGTCTTTTGACAGTTCTTTCCTGCTCCCCTTGGCTCAATATCTAAATTACTCAGTGCATCCACGTGAGAGCTAACAAACTCACTATTTATACACAGACACCAACTGCAATTTACAAAAGGCACAGATGTGGGAAATTAACCTTTAATTGCCATTTTAACCGGTTTGTGTACCAAGGCCAAACATTCCAGGTGATGTAAACTTTGATTAGAGCCATTTGGGTGATTTCTGTTATCATTAAGATTCAAAAAGGAGCCAACACAACTACGTGATAATAAATGGCTTCCGATGATCAGTATCCTTAAATAAAAGACAGCTTTTTTGGTATGATCGGTCATATTTTCAATATGAATACCAAAATGTCACGATTTCTGCCAGGGTATGCAAACTTTTGAGCACAACTGTAAATAATTCCAGTTACTACATCAGAGCTAGAATTACCTTGGTCACCCAAGTCCATATGCATGTCGGAAATGAGACAGACCTTGAAACTGCATTACCAGAAAATGTTCAGACATCGGAGATCCTGGAGTAATCACGAGACAATGGCAATTACCTTATCCTAGAACTACTCAGCAAATTTCCATCTACAAGGTACAATCGTGTCTTCTCACTTCTGCAGTCACCCCACTATGGCTCTTCCTAAACTAAACTCATCGTAAAGACCTTGCACAGAGTTTGGCCATGGCACGCAAGAAAAAAAAAAAAAAAAAAAAAAAAAAAAAAAACGAACGATGATTGCCTGCTAGAAAAGAAAGTAGTTTGGCTCTGACCACTGGAGAAACCACCCCCAAAAAAACAAACCAAAAAAGAAAAAAAAAAAAAGGGAAGGGGGAGGAAAAGCATGGGTACCACAGAGAAGATTTACAGAACGGTTATGTAATTTATCCAGGTAAATACTTAGTAAAATTGTCCTTTAATGTATTCCCCCACCCCTTCAGTAAAGTCCAGGTAACAACATATTTCCCTTCATCCCTGTCCTCGGGATCTTTACTGTCCAGCCCTGAACGGCACCATGCAGCTCATCCTATTTCTATGGCTGGTCTGTTCTCATTGCAGTCCCCAGCCAACCACATGAGTATGGAGCCGGTCAAAAAAAGAACGAGTGGGTCAAGTGGCACATGTGCTCAAGAGTATCTGAATGTGGCAGGACTGCACATTGAGGATCTCTAGAGTGGGGAGGAGGACAAGTATTTTACTACATAGACTAGGGAAAAACACTAAGGGACAACTAAACTGTTTACCAGGGCCGGACTGATCATTCGAGCACTGCCTGAGGGCCCGGGGTCAGTGAGGGGGCCCCATAAAATGCCCCTGGTACCTTTTTTAGGGCTCGTTCACACTTGGCTGTTTTACCAACGCTTGCCAAACGCCCCTATAGCGTTTGGCAAGCGTTGGTCCGGCGTTTGCGAAACGTTTTTTAACGCACCGCAAACGCTGTTTTAGCGGCGGTTGCTAGGCAATTGCCAAGCGTTAAAAAACGCCCCAAAAACGCCTATAATGCAGTTTGAATGGTGTTACCACTCCGCAAACGCGTCGTAACTGCACCGCAAACGCCGGGCCGTTTTGCGGAGTGGCACCATAGACTAGAATAGGAGGCTTCAATGCCTCCTGACCCGTTTTGGCGCGACGCAACGCAAATGCTCCCGTTAGAACAGCACCATGTGCTGTAATGTGCAGAATTGGCAGAGGCGTTTGGGAAGCGGTAAAAACGCTTCCCAAAACGGCTCTCTGCCGCCTGCACACAACACTAGTGTGAATGTAGCCTAATAAGCTTTTTTGAGTGTGGGCAAAGACACAGGGGCCCCATGATCCCCTATTGCCCGGGGCCCCATGAGTTTTCAGTCCGCCACCCCTGCTGTTTACCTACCTGGAGAAGTCCCCATTTCTGCTCACACCCAAGCTTCCATTTCCCCTCCCAGAGGTGGTTTTCTATATATGATGAAGCAGAATCACTTAGAGAGCAAAATAACACTAGTAGGTTCTTCACAGGAATAGATGTAGCACATACTAATAAGAGGAGATATTGGGTTCTGCTTACATGTCCTGTGTGTTACCAGGAGAACGAGAGAGAGGGGGGCATTGAGAGGGTAACTAAATTTGCAAAAATCTATTACCTAGTGTATCCGAAATATAAAAAACTAAAATGACATATCTTTTAAAAAAAAAAAAAAAAAAAAAGGAAGGGTAGGATGTAAAATAATTTTACCTGCTCTAGAGTGCTTACCTTTTCTGCTTCACCGTGATGCCTTTCTGCTGCAGAGCTTTCTCATTGGCAATCTGAAGTAAGTGTATCTCTTTACGGGAGAAGAGCCGGATAGCAAAGGCTTTCTCTAAAAGTTTTTTCTGGAGACACGGATTTGCTGATGTCCCTCACAAACTCCTGGAGGTCTCTTTTCACATTATTCGACTCCATAGGCTGTCCACCTCTTACTTTTTGAAAAAATTTCAGAAGAGCCAGCGCTATCCTGAAGAGAACTTTGTAACCTTCTACCAAAAACACATCAAACACCCTTGTGACATAGTTAAAGGGCAAGTCTCCAAAAAGCCACCTTTGCCAGTCTGAGTATACCTCCATGACATCTTCAGATACTGCTACCATGAGCTTGTGAGGTCCTTGGCAATATTTGCCTGCTAGATCCCCAAAAGTCATGCAAGACGACTCAAATGCTAAAAAGGTTTGGTCAACAAGCCGCCTATTAGGGTCATTGCAGGCTAATATTCGAGAGACGCTTTCAAAGCATTCTGCTTCGTCCTGGCTGTAGTGAAGAAGAAGAGCCACAATGGAAGGGAGAGCAGGACAAAAGGAGATATCTGGAAATTGGTTTGAGATACACATTATGACTTTCCGGACTGATCCAATCCCTTCGGAGTTCAGGCAGTAGGTGGGAACCTGGCGATCGTCAACAAATTCAGGTAGTGGTAACGTACTGGCACTTCTCTTGCCCACTATTTTTCCCACAATGTCTCGGTACACGCTGGCGTCTGGTGTCACGGTGCGGCAAGGGATGTCTTTGATAAGTTTTTTATATACCTTTGCCCGTAACGAATGGTTCTTGGCCCAATACCCCTGACGAGACAGCTGTTTCAGTTCCTGTAAATCGTTACAGTTAAGAACTTTGGGGCTCTGTTCCTGGCCCCCACTCTCCATCTTATCCCAATCCACAAAACGGCCATATTCGGTGTCATCCATAGTTGATCTTTCCCAGGAAATGGTCTTTCCACACAGCTCTCAGTTCATAGCTCCCTGAAAACAGAGAACACATTAAGTAGCAAACCTCTACTATGCCAAATTTCAATGCATTGCCCAGTTTTGCTAAAGCCTCCCCCAAAACCCACCAACTAATGGACAAAAAAAAAAAAAATTTGACAATTCTAGGAGAAACTGAAACAAGGGGTGGCTGCAAGACAACCTCACCAGCCACAAAGATCAATCTTTAGCTGTGAAACAGGGTTGTCATCAAGAAAGGACAAAGTACCCCCAAAAGTAGCTGGGGTAGTTACCAAGTTATCAAAAAAAGAAGATGTAGAAGAACAGACATTACAGAACAATATTCGGAGGTCTATCTGGATAAACAATTACTGTAAAAGTTGGTCTTGACAGGAAAGTCATTTTGCATTAGTCTGTAATACAAGAGGCCTGTTCTGTGGAGTCCACTGAATGTTTGTACAAACCCACTCTCCTGTTTACAGGGCTTTACACAGGCAGCATCCCATAAAGTCAGCAGCAGTCGTGATAACATCGGCTGTGACCCAGATAACTTGAAACCCAAGTTAAAACATTAAACAGGCATGTTCAAACTGTACGGCGTGCCAGAGGAAAGATGGTCCAGCCAAAACACCCTATTCCTAACATTCGGAGGCCTGTTAATAATATTAAGCAAAAGGCTAGCCAGGCCACCAGCATGTGCAAATAAAGCAGATATTATGACTCCAGCAGGTCCCAAATATTGCTGATGTTGAAGAAAGAAGCTTCACTCTGCATCCACAATCCAGAGATCACTCTACACCAGATGACCCAGACACAAAGTACGGCATTATGGCTTCACATACGCTCACACCTACAAGTTCTAGAATACTAACAAAAACCACAAAGGTCACATAAAAGTAGAATGAGAAATGCCAAAATATTTCAGTGTCTGCATTTAAATAACTTGTAAGATGAAGCAGTTGGAAATAAATAGTAGTGGTGTGGACTGCAGAATCCGGTTTGTACCGTCGGGCCTTTACGGGGTCAGGCTCCGTTCACACCCATGGAGGTGGCTGGGAGTGCATGCAAAGCAGTTTCCAGTGTATGTTAGTAAGAGGCATGGGGGTGCCATGAAGAAATGATGGCACTGCTGCACATCTGCAAAAAGGTTGCACATTCCCGCAACTGTGAACTCCGCATCAGTGCCGCGCTTCCAGTGCTCTGTATTCGCACATTATTGGTAGGTGCCTACTGCATGAAGGATTGGGAGGCAGGGTTTAATGCTTTCAATTCACTGCAAGCCAGTCTTGAATATTAACTGCCGGTTCACACTGATGTGGTGTGGGATTCTCTGATTCCTGTACGTTTCCCGCAGCACATCCGGGCGTATTTACCACAAAGGCAAACAAGGCATTTGCCTAGGGCGGCATTTTTCGGGGGGCAGCACCACTCCTCTGGAAGGGACACATGCGGTTTGGGGACTAGGTGGGATCTGAGAGAGGCTGTGGGCTGCTTGACTCTCGTTCCCGGGGATGTCCACAGCTATGAAGGTGAGTGTCTTCCTCTTTCGCTGGTGTATGGGGGCAATGGTAGTGGAAGGCACTCTCGGGTGGGGGGGGGGGGGGGGGGGGGTCAGAGGTGTTGTTGGTCAATGTCAGGCTCTCTCCGGGGGGGGGCAATTATGTGTTACCTAGGGCAGCACAAAACCTTACTACACCACTGAGCATATCACAATTGCACTACACTCATGTGAACCGCTGTGGGGTTTCTAGATTATGTTAACACCACCCCGAAACACAGTACAACTCGCTGAACTGAATCGCATGGGTGTGGGGGGGGGGGGGGGGGTAAACAAAAAGGCACCTTTTGTACTGGTGTGTTGCGATTTGAGCCATACAAAATGAATGGCTCAAATTGCACTGCAAATAATAGCATGTGATTTGAATAGGAATGCAGTGTGATTCCTGTCTGAATCACATGCGGTTCCAACACACAACAGTGTAAATGGGGTCTAACGCTTTTTCTTTTATATAGATTTCAATATTTTTATTGAAAATCTATAAAAACAGTATATAGAAATATAGAAAACATAACCCACCCACATGATGAGTTGTAGCAAAACAATCAAAGTCATGCAATATATAGTCACATAATAATACATTGACCAATAATGTAGTAGTTTTTTTTTTTTTTTGAACAAACATACTTGCCTGCTCAGTGCAAAGGTTTTGAATAGAACAGAACAGCCCTGATCCTCTTCTCGGGTCACCAACAGCACCCCTGGCTCCTCCCACTTGACCAGTGCCCCCAATAGCAAGCTGCTTGCTATGGGGGCATTGGTGCATGTTCACACCCGAGCCCCGCTCTATGCATCCATAAAAACACACAGAGCCATGACTTGGCCCTGCCCCCCGCTCTCTCCTCATTGGCTCACTAGTTTTGATTAACAGCAGTGGGAGCCAATGGCCGAGGCTCCCGTACACATCACTGCATCGACATGGGGCTCAAGTGAGTATTAGGGGGGCTGGAGCAGCACACAGATTTTTTTTTTTTTTTACCTTCAAGGTAAAAAAAAAAAAAACAAAAAAAAAACTTCAGTCTCTGAAACCACTTTAAGCTGACCATGCACATTTCAAATTTTGTCTGGTTCCTGATGAACTTAGTGGGTGGCCTGGTTGGCCCCCTCCCACCTAACATGCTTTGATTACAGAGCCTGGCCAAACAATGGCCCACAAAACAGCGGCTACATCTGACTGGATGCCAACGTCAGCTGTCAGAATACAATGGCCCATCAAGGGGAATCGCCCATCCACAATACAGTGTGGATGGAGGAATAAAAGCCAACAGGCCAAATAAAAGATATCTAATAGTATGGCAAATGTTACACAAACCCTGCTTCTCTATACTTTGTTAGCATGGGAGCCCAGCCCAATACAGGTTAGGCAAGTCTGCCAGCATTTTCACATACTAGTTTCTCCATATTGTAACTGTATTAAATATAGGCATTTGGAAATCCGCCAAATATTAACAAAAAGACGAGATACGATATTATGCACATAGGAAGTACATTGTTTTTAGTGGGTCAGATGTATAGAAATTGCAAGGAAGAGCAGTATAGTACAATCACTACTGAAAAACGGGAAGAACAGTGCAGGCTCCATGCACACTGGCATGAAAAAAAAAAGAAGAAAAAAAAAAAAAGGAAAAAAAAAAAAAAAAAAAAAAAAAAAGAAGAAGGGGAAAAAAAAAAAAAAAAAAAAAAAAAAAAAGGAACACACCACACACACAAAAAAGAAAAAAGAAACATGACAAAAACTCTGCTCCTAGAGGAGTTTAGCATTTTGCCTGCAGAAGCAATCAATGTTATTCTATGTGTCCATGCACACAAGGTAGTCTAGAGGTGCTAAAACATATGCATTTAGGAGGCAGGAAAAAAAAAAAAAAAAACCCACACCCTCTGTTTAGCATTTTTTTGTTCTGCCAGACAAACTCAAAAACGCAAAATGCTCCAAAAGGCTCAAAATTTTTGTTTTTTTTTTGCTGCTAAGAGCACTGCCTTTTTTTTTTTTTTTTTTTTTTTTAGCAAGTGTGCAGAGATTAGAGATTATAGATCATATACAGACACACAGGTTTTTAAATTAGGTTAATGTAAAACATTTTTAAAAAATTGGTGCTAATGTTTTTACATGTATTAAAAAAAGATAAAAAAAAAAAAAAAAAAAAAAAAAAAACCACCATGTGCACAAGTCTCACTTTAACACCATTGTCCTATCCATATTTGTACTGAGGCACTAAGCATTTCCTAGATATAAATGAACTGGCTCCTCCCTGCTCGGCGGTCACAGGAGGCAGAGGGAGGGGGTGACCAGGCACAATCCAGATCCATTACAGAATCATTGCACCGTTCGATGAAACCCTGTAATGTGATTAAACAGTTCGATCATCCCAGAAATAGCTGCTGGCTGCAGAACTCACTATACATTGCTGCAGCCTCCACCGAGGACACTGAGCTGAGCACTAACAGACTATTCCATCCTTGTCATACAAAAATAATTATACTAAAAATATTGCTATAATGGTTGTCAGGGGAAAATAAAAGGTGGCTGAGCTCAGAATTTATGGCCAAGTCTATATCCAGGGAAAAATGTCTTCCCAAAAGCCAAAGTATGGCTGGAATATACCCATGTTCATAATATGAAAAACAGAATATATATTATGTGACCACTAAATAAAACTTTGGACCCTTTTGAGGATTCCATGGTGTGCTGGTGACATTCTTCCTCTTGGAGATTGTCTCAGTTTATGGAATAAATTTCACAAGATCTACAAGGTGTCCTCTAGACCAAGTCACTCCTTGTGTTATTCAACCAAGATTGGAGTTATCGCTATCTCATCACAACTGTAAATTACAGAGATCACACTTTCCCAATGCTTAGATTGGAGAGACAGAACACTGGAGGACCCAGCCAAATTTCACTGCATCTATGGCCAGCTTAGGGACATCATTTAAGGTCACAGTTCTAGGGGTTTCTTAAAACACAGAAAAGCATCAAGGTAGTGTCCTTCCTTCCTTGGGATAGAACGCTTATAGACGTGAATTTGAAGAACTGATTTGACTCGCAGATATGACACATCAAATAAATAAACCAATCAATGAAGTGCCCCCTTTGCTAAAGTATTCATTTATACAGATTTAATTCACTTTGCCCTTGATTCCCATAGGGTGGTGGCACTGGTTATGTCTGGTGTCTAATGGCTTCTATCACACCTATTCACTGATGAGAATCATCCAAAAAGAGAGATGAGGTTAATGTCTCAGGAAGGAGCCTTCAGTCAGTAGGGCAGACATGCAAAGAAAACGGTTGAGCTTTTTAAAGGACGGAGCCAGCAGACCGATGTTATCAGTTCAAAGCAGACAGCGCCGCAGGGATGCAACTGTTAAGGAACAGCCTTATCGGGTGTCAGAGTAGCCCAGTGTTTCAATCTTTTTGCAGTCAAGGCAC